AAATGTGAGAAGATCAGGATGAAACACAATTTGACTTCAGAAATGGACTGGGAACTCGGGACGCCCTCTTTGCACTAAATGTATTACTGCAGAAATGTCGAGATCAAAGGAAAGACATCTTTGCTGTATTTATTGACTATGAAAAGGCCTTTGATCGAGTACAGCATCACAAATTAATTACAATATTAAAATATAAGGAGTTGATAGTCAAGACATACGATTCATAGAAAAGTTATACTGGAGTCAAATATGTAAAATACAAGTGGTGTCAGACAGGGTTGTATACTATCCCCAATGTCATTTAATTTATATTCAGATAGAATATTTAAAGAAGCGCTGCATAATTTGGAATGAGGCGTGAAAGTTAATGGAATTCTGATAAATACAATCAGATATGCAGGCGATACAGTTATTTTAAGTGATGACATGAATGGATTACAATGCCTTTTAAATGCCATTTATACGGTGGGAAGAGAGTTTGGCCTAAAAACATAAACTGTTCTAAAACAAAACACATGGTATTTAGCCGTTTAGCACATCAAGATGGACGATTATATGTTGATGGTTATGTAATTCAAAGAGTGTCCAGTTTTAAATATCTTAGTTGCCATATTACTGAACAACTAGATCCAGATCAAGAGATAAAATGTAGAATCGAGATAGCCCGCACGACATTTTTAAAAATGAGGTCATTCTTCTGTAATGATAACTTGCAACTTCAACTTCGAAAGCGCATGGTTAAATGCTACATTTGGTCAGTCCTCTTATACGGTGTCGAAACATGGACATTAAAAATATCCACCATTAATCGTCTGGAGGCCTTTGAAATGTGGCTGCACAGGCGTATACTAAAAATTCCGGGGACGGCTATGCTGACAAATCTGGCAGTCCTTGAGAGAGCAAATGCTGCTCGCGAGCTGCTTGATAACATCCAATGTAGAAATATGGCCTATTTTGGACACGTAGTAAGGGGAGACCGATATAATATTCTTCAACTTATTATGATGGGTAAAATCGAAGGACGCAGAGTAATTGGTAGAAAGCAGGCCTCTTGGTTGAAGAATATCAGGAAGTGGACAGGAATAAAGAAAGCTGAGCAACTATTTAGAATAGCTCGAGACAGACAGTTTCGCCATGTTAATCGCCAACGTCAAGGGGACTTGATAAGGCGCGTTAAGAAGAAGAAGGATAACAAAAGAGGAAAGTAATACCAAAAAATATAAAATGGATACTTTATTATCTCCTCCCCCCACCCCCCAGAGAAATAAATGGCAGAAAAACAAATTCAAAACAATTGTAGTAGAAGGTTTCAAAAATTCTGTCAACTTACGTAAGACTCTAGTCGATGCTGGTATTAGATTCACCACGGAAGTAAGAAATATTGAAGTGATACAAGTTAATACACCCGACACTGATCAATACAGAAAACTATTAAAGAGTAAGCTTTCATATCACTCTATATCATATATACAAAACAAAAAGTAAACAAAAACGACCGATCAGAGTATTAAAAATCTATATCGTATCTGTCAACCACAGATATAGTAAAAGAGTTATAAAGAGGAGGATATAAAGTTATTCATGCTGATTAAAAAATGAAGTAGTTGGAGAACTAAAAACCTTTCCATATGTTTATCCCAACATCAAACAAGATGAAGATATTAACAAAATGTTTGGAATAACTGACATATTAAGCACGAGAGTTAAAATCCAACCACTAAGGAGTTTAAGGCTGGTATTACAGTGCAAAAGATGCCAAGCCTATGGTCATACCTGGAAATATTGTAATAATTAACCAAGATGTATTAAATGCGTAGGTGAGCACCTTACCAAAGATTATGAGAAACCATCAAAAGAAAACCAAAATGCATTCATTATGGTAAAAATCGTCTTGCAAACTATCGCGGAAGTTATGTAACTAAAAAAATACAAAAGTTGAGAAATCAGAGGACAAATAAAATCCGTGTTCCAAAACTCCCACAAAGGGTTAACGAGAAGGAAAAATCAAAGGCGCAAAATGTTGCGGAAAATTAAAAATATAAATAAAATAGAATTGGAAAACGAAAATACATTGAAAATGATATTAAAAAAACTCATCAAGATAGATGATAAAATAACTCAAATATATGTAAAAGGTACAAAATTGGAATATAGCGCTAAAGGAGCTTATATATACCGAAAATTAGAAATGGCTAAGTAACTATAAATCATAGAATGGAATGGAATGTCAATGGACTGCTATTATATCAAAATGAGTTGCAAGCAACACCAGATTTAGAGAGGTTGATTTGTGTCATGAGTCTGAAACATATTTCACTAAAAAATCTCTAGAGAGATATGTCCCATATTTATGAATAGCTAAGGTTATAATGATGGCCTCATAGATGATTTAACAGTGATGTAGAAGCTGTTTTAGAAAGTTCTGCGAAAAATAATGAAACCAATGGTAAAAAAGAAAAAAATAGTTCCAAACCACCAATTTAGCTTCAGAAATAAATATTTTACGGTTAGTCTAAATTATTAAAAGTATGCAGGGTTTAATCTACAAACTCAAAACTATTATGCTAACCATACTCAAAAATTTTGCAAACATATCTGACAGATATTTTATAATTCAGCAAGAAAATGTGTAAACATATTTAAAAGAAATTAAAGCAGGAGTCCATCAAAGAATCGTATTAGGTCCGGTCCTCTAACTCTTATACACATAATGACCTAGAAAATTATACTACGGATACCTTTGCAGATGATACTGCTATTCTAGCAGTAGGTGAAAAGAAACTGCAGAAAAATACAATTGTCATTAAATAAAATCCATAATTGCACAAAAAATGAATCTTAATATCTAAATAAATAAAACTAAATGAATCTAAATCAGTTCACGTTAATTTTACAAATAAGAAAATTCAAAACATTCCAATTAGAAAAATGGTGCCCAAATATCATATACATTGTCCGCAAAATACATAGGTCTCACACTTAATGTAATACTTCGCTGAAAAGTCTATATTAAAAAGAAAAGGGAAGAACTAGGTATCCGTTACAAGAAAATGTATTGGCTGATGGTAAGAAATTCAGCATTGTCCATATATAACAAAAACTGCTATACAAAGAAATACTAAGACCAGTACAGACTTACGGTTGCCAACTCTGGGGCTGTGCCAAGTTAAGTAAGATCCAGATAATCCAGAGTTTTTAGAATAAAGTATTAACCTTTATCCTGACAAAGTCCAGAGACGCCACTTCTTTTATTATAAATTGATAAAAAATATTTATTGAATTTTATGCATTAATGAATTTGTTAACAAGTATGTTTCCGTTAACATAATTATGAGCTATTCAAAACATTCATTATCGTTTTTGAAATTAATGCGTCGAAAGAATTTTATTATTTAAGGTGCACGGTCCGTTGGACTCCATTTGTGTTTATTCCTAAGGTAGAAAAAAAAATATGGTGTGTTTATATCTCTTTGTTACAAAATTTAATCTGGCAGGTAATGACTTTAGATAATCTTTTTGTGATTTATCTAAACGATTTTATGATTCCGGGAATCCAATAATATAATCTGGGAAAGAGATTTTTACCATAGGTATTATAATCTATTCTAAATGAATTTTAAAAACTGATAATGATTCTTGGAATGCAATAATACTATCAGTTGTTTGATATTGATTTTAGTGTCGACAACCTAAGCTTATATTAAATTTCAGTGATATTGAAGATCATCTTTCGGAAGCAAGTGAAGAGGATGAATAGCAAGTAGTATTGAATGATCTTGAAGAAGAATATGTAGCTACAGTTTCCCAGATTTCGAATTGGGTATTAGGATAAGGACGGAATTAACTGAAAGAGTAAACCACAACCGACAGGGCGTATGTGAATCTTGAACACAAAAAAAAGCAAAATCCACAAAGTAATGTTAGCCCCTGATCAAAGTGTAGATGTACCTATTGATTTCTTTTGTTTGTATGTGGACGAAAAAATTGTGAACGAAAAAGTGCGAAAATAAAGAATATGAAAAAGTCCTGGGGATAGAGAACTGGCAATATTGCGATTCGCTAGAGCTATATATCTTTATTGCACAACTACTAGCTGCAAGGTACCTAGGTGCCCTGCTATGGACCTCCTATATTTAAAGCTTATTCCTCCTCCTCTCGAAACACTACAACCCGGGGTGGATCTTGGTTGACTGCACAACTTGCTTCCATGTTGAACGGTCGTCCATAATAGTTGAGTCAGTGGGTAACCCCATTGTTCTTAGATCTGACCATATATTGTCCCTCCCTCGCTTTTGTGGACGTCCTAAGGGCCTTATTCCTGTGGGGCCTTCCTCCTACATTAACTTGGTAATATTAGGCGATTATTAGGGAGTCTATGGGCATGGCCAGCCCATGTTAGACGTTGAAATTTAATCTCTTGACTATGTCGCTCGCTCTATACATCTGCTTGACCTCAGCATTTGTTCTTATTCGGAATTGGTTGCTATTAATGTCGTGATAAGGCCCGAAGATTCTTCTGAAGATTTTCCTCTCAAAACATCCTGAAGATTTCTTTCAGTTTCTTTGGTCAGCGTCCATGTCTCACACCCATACATGAGCACCGGTTTAATCACCGTTTTATATATTCTAATCTTTGATGTTGTGTTAGGCTTTTAGATTTCATATTATTGTGGAGGCTGTACATACATCTATTTGCTGCCTGAATTCTTCTTTATTCTCTTCCGCGATATCGTTATCTGCAGTGATTGTTGCTCCGAGATATTTAAAGCTCTCCACTCTTTTAAAGTTATATGGGTCTATTGTAACATTTTGCCCTATTATATCTCGTCCATTATTTCTATTGATGCACATGTATTTGGTTTTCTCTTCCTTTGCCCTTAAACCAGTTTTCTTTGCCTCTACCTGCAATTTATTAAAAGTCTCCTTCATATTGGTGACTGTGTTTCCCACAATATCAATCTCATCTGCGTATGCTAGTAGTAATTTTGGTCTATTTACTGTCAGTAATTCTGTTTTAAGTTGTGCTGCTCTTACTACTTTCTCCAGGATAATATTAAAAAGAAGACAGAGCATGACAGCGCATTTATTTATTTATAGGTTTGTTACCTATCCGTACTCTGGATCTACAGCTATTCACACATAACTTAACAAGCTGGATAAGTTTTTTTGGAACTAAAAGTTCTGACATTGCATTCCACATCTGATCCCTTTTAATGCTGTCGTACGCTTGCCGGAAATCTATGAAGAGATCATGGATAGTTCAATTGAATTCCCATCCTTTTTCAAGCAGCTGCCTTAGAGTAATGATCTGATCTATGGTCGATCTATGTTTTCTGAACCGGCTTGGTATTCCCCCATGAAATTTTCTACAAACGGTGTCAATCTACTTAATAGGATGTTAGATAATGTTTTATATGCCGTATTAAGTAGGGAGATGCCTCTATAATTAGACCACTTAGTTTTGTCTCCCATTTTATGGATGGGGATTATTACACTTTCGTGCCATTTTGTTGGTATTTTCTCTTCGTTCCATATAAGTGTTTTTAGTTTGTGTATTTGTCTATGTAGAATTTCTCCTCCGTACTTAAGAAATTCAGCCAGTATATTGTCAGAGCCTGGAGCTTTTCCGTTCTTGAATTTGTTAATTGCTTGCAATGTTTAATCTATTTTGGGGTCCTCCACCGGTAGGCCACCCCAAAATATATTTTCCTATTCCTCTTGATACATGTTTAGGAAAGCCTTGAAATATTCTTGCCATGTTTGGAGCAGTTCTTTTTCATTTATTATTAATTCATCATTTTTTTCTGACTACAGACACGTATCTAGGTCTGAAGCCTTTCTTTTCGTTTGACACTGATTTGTAAAATTCTCGGCTATATGACTGTTGCCTATACCTTTCCATTTCTTCATATTTCTGTTTTCTTGTTTCTCGGCGTAAAGTTGCATAGTTTTTTTTTACTTTCTACTGTTCTTGTTGAAGCATAATGTTTCGCTTTATCTGTCTGTCGTGTAGTTTTTCTTGATATTTTCTATCAAACAATTTTCTTGTTCTCTTCCTGCTTTTTCCTATTATTAGGTCAGCTGACTCGGTAATTGATTTTTTCATTTGTTGCCACAGCCTTTCGACATCATTGCTCTGGTCTACTGTATTTAAATGCTGTTTAATTGCTTGTTAGATGTAAAGATATTCTCAATCTGATTTTTGCTCTTACTAGGTGATGGTCTGAATCTCCATCTACTCCCCTGAGGCTTCTTCTCACATCCAGCGCATTACTTCCATGTCTAGCATATTTAAAGCTACTATGAGGAAAAACGATTCAGAAATTTGCTAAGATTTGTTTGATTAGTCCTATTGAGTAAGGTGGCCTGCCACTAGGAAACATATTACACTTTAGGGGGAATACCATATACAGGAAAAAACGAAAATACAATAAGAAATGGCCTTGCATCTAAGACCTTGCGATAACTATTTTACTGATCCTGATCTTTCACATGAATTACTGACAAACTCACTAACTCTGGTGGTCACAGTGAAAAAAATTAGAAGTTTGTTCCTGAGAAATTTCTACCAAACAAGAACCGTTTAGAGAAATCTTCAATTCTCGGATTCATACAAAAGCATCTCTTGTTTCCCACGTGCCGAAAAAACAAAGAAGTGTCCTAGTCCTGTCTACCATACATTGCAACGCTGACTGTGAAGATGATGTTAACAAAAAACAAGATCGAATACTTTATTATAATAGTACAAAATGTGGTGTCGATAAGCTATACCAAATGGTTCATATGTATATGTGCGAAAGGCAGACTAACCGCTGTCCTTTTGCATTTTTTATGAATATTTTAGATATAACTGGGGTAGCCTTATTTATTACTTCGACAAATTTACATACAAAATGGAACGAAAACAAAGATGAAAAGCGAAGATTAATTCTTGTAACGACAGCAGAACAACTAGTGTTGCTCAAAGTGTGAAAAGAAAAGCAAGGGGCTCTATCGGGAAACAAAACAGTGTATTAAAAAATGCTTACAGGAAGTTGATTTACATAAAAAAAGGAAAAACCAAAAAAACTTCCACATTTTTTCAGGTGGTGTCACATGTGCCCAACAAAAAAGGACAGGAAATAGAAGCAAAGTGAATATGCCACTAAATGATCGTTTTGGAGTGTAGATTTTCTCGTCACGACGTATTTGCTTGAAAATTTGGATTTAGGTTCCTCTTACCATCTACTTTACTTTTAGACTTGAGCCGAGGGTTGCTTTTACTTTGGGTACAAAATGTATCCCTTTTCAGGGGTGGAAAAACATATGTTCAAAATAAGTAAATAGATACATTGACTAATTCTAAGCAACTTTTGTTCCATAGATTTTTGTAATTAAAACAATACTTTTTGAGTTATTTGCTAGTGAAAATATTCAGTTTTCAAAATAAAAGCACGCTTTCAGACGATTTTTTCACAAAAAAAAAACCCAAGAATAAGTATTTTATCAAAAAAATATTCTTACAAAAAATGTAGCTTATGAAAAAATAAATAAAAATTGTGTACTTAACAAGTCTGTAGAACTAGTAGAAGTACAGTTGTAGTACATGAAAAGTAGGTTTTTATTTGTCACATTCCAAATCGAATAGTTCAACGTAAAATAACCAAAAAATGAAGCACTTTTCGGGAAAAACTGATCAAAATTTTTGAAATTGTTTAAAAAGCTGTATTTTTTTTTTTTTAGTTTCTAGCATCAAAACTAAGCGAGTTAAGCTCAAAATAGAGTTGGTTTCTGCTTTTTTGGTAAAAATATCGTAAAAATGACAGCCTAATTAGCACCCCAAATGACATTAATTATTATCGCTGTACTTATGTACTGGTTACATGATCTGTAAAATTGACCGATTCAAATTGCTTATTTTTGAAGAAATAATAATACAATTACATTTGCTATGCTATAACCTCCCTTGTTTCTCCAAACAAGACTTCTAATCTTAATTGAAAATCCATGTTAATAATTTAAAAATTCAAATGAACCACAATATCAGCTCTTCAACTAAACAAGAAGAGTCACACAATTTAAAACTATACAGTTAATTACTAGGTTTCACTAAAATTAGGCTACAAACCTATTAGCTTATAGTGTATGTATATATTGTAACTGATCAAATATTTTATGGCAATAAATCAAACATGTTAGCTATGCAGTCTACTTAGTGAGGGACACTGTACAAGTCAATAGTGTTATAGAAGTAATGGATTTTAACAAGAGCCATGAGTCATGCCGATTCAGTACACAAGTTTACCTGTTATCTTCAAGGTCATAGCTCTTGTCAAAATCCATTACTTCTAAAACTATGAATTTAAACGATTTGACATAATAAAACGCTGTTACGTTCTGCCTGTTTTTCAATGTGCCTTAAGTAAGCTGTCGTTTCATCGTTTTCGTGTCTTCCTCTTGGGGAGCCGTCTGTACTAACCTATTTGTTGATATTCGGCTTATATGAAATGATCGTTTCATTCTACTTTTTTTATGTCTTACCCAGCGCTTGATGTTCTCCATTTTGCATCTACGTCGTATATCTGTACTGCTAGCTCTGTCCCATAGTGTTTTACCATTAATTTTTTTTGTGTTTTTATCTCTGTTGTTTCTAACACCATTTTTGTCTTCTCTGTGTCATGTCGTGTGTCTGCCGCGTATGTCATTATTGGTCTGATAACTGTTTTGTAAATTCTCCATATTGTTTCATTCAGGCAACCTGCAGGTTTATTTACTCTATTCACATGAAATCTCTTAATTTGCATTTTAATAAATTTTCTGTTGTAACCATGCATTTTGTCTTTTTCGAGGAAATTAACATTTATAACAAATTTTCTAGTGGTTATATTAAAATGGTGGCATACGTTGTAAATTATCTTCACTTTGAGAGAGTAGTATTGCATCGTCTGCATAGCAGATTATTTTATATTGGTTTTCTCCCATTTGGTACCCTTTTTTTAGTTCTGAGTTTTTTTATTATTTCATCTATAATAAGGTTGAACAAGAGAGGACTCAGGGAATCTCTCTGTCTTATCTCATTTCCAGTGTCAATAATGTCAGTTGGTTCTTCTACTTTTACTTTTATTTATATTTACTTTTAAAACGTTGATCGTTTCAATTATTCCTCTCATTGTGTTATACTCCTTATTCATCTCTCTTACGCACAATATGTGGATAACGTCTTTTAAATTGACCTGGTCAAATGACTTCTTAAGGTCCACGAAACATATACCAACGAAATTCTCTTGCACTTTTCCTCATTATAAATATAGCGTCGGTACTAAAACTGAACTAAAACCTTGTTGTTATTCTGCTAGTGTTATAATTTCACTCAGTTTATTTGTTATCACTTTGGTTGTCAATTTTAGTGTTGTGTTTAATAAATAAATTCCTCTGTAATTTTCAGGGTCCGATTTGTCTCCCTTTTTGAAGAGATGTATTAGGATGCTTGATCTCCAATCTTGAGGAATTCTGTTTTGTTCTATTATTTTTTGGATTAGTTTTAATAGTTGTTTGGTCCTTCGTACTTTAGGAGTTTGTTCAGTATTCTGTCCTCTCCTTGTGATTTTTTATTTTTGATTTCCTTACAGGAAAAATCATCTTCTTCTTCTTCTTCTTTTTTATAAGCAAATGCTTGTTCAATGTCGATTAATGCCTCTATTGGAGGTTATCACTCCATCTTTTGCGTGGTCGCCCGATACTTCTTCTACCTTTTGGTGATTTGTCCCTCGCTATTCTGACTAATCGGGTCTCTTCCATTCTGTTTATGTGTTCGTTCCATTCCTTTTTTCTGTTCAGTGTCCACTCATTTATTTCTGGTATATTGCATTTTCTTCTGATCTCTTCACTCCTCATTCGATCCCTCAGTGTGTTTCCTGTAATTCTCCTCAGTAAACGCATCTCCGCTGTTTCTAGTAGTTGCTGAGTTTTGGAGGTATCCGGTCTTGTCTCTGAAGTGTATGTCATTATTGGTTTTATTGTTGCTTTGTAGATTCTTGATTTCACGTCGGTATTAATGTGGGGATTGCGCCATATCGTGTTATTAAGACAACCTGCTATTTTATTAGCCTTTTGTACTTGATTTTTCATTCCTTCTCCACATCTCCGTAGCTAGACAGTGTAATTCCTAGGTAATTTGTCTCCATTACTTGCTCAATGCTGATACCGTCGATTTCCAGTTTACATCTAATTGGTTCTTTACTGATTACAATTGTTTTAGTTTTCTGTGTAGAGATCACCATATTAAAGTCCTTTGCCCTTGTGTTGAATCTATGGGTTAGTCTTTGTAGATCGTCTTCATTGGATGCAATTAGGGCCGCATCATCTGCATAGCAGAGTATTCTGATTTCTTTGTTCCCCATTTTGTATCCTCTTCCTTTATTAATAGTATTGATGATTTCATCCATGATTAGATTGAATAGCGTTGGACTAAGCGAGTCTCCTTGTCTTATTCCATTGCCCATATCTATTGGATCTGTAAGCTGGTCATCTATTCTGACTTCCATATTGTTGTTCTGGTAAATGTTCTCTATTGTTTTTATAACATTTAGTGGAATTTATCTATCGTAAAGAAGGTGACTTACATCTTTAAGCTTTACTTTATCGAACGCTTTCTTCAGGTCTATTAGACATATGAATGCTGGTCTGTTATACTCTAGTGCTTTCTCGGTAATCTGTTTTATGATGAATACTGCATCTGTGCACGATCTTCCTGTGCGAAAACCCTGCTGTTCATCCGCTAAGGTAATTCTCTGATTTATTTGGCCTTGCAATATTTTGGTTGTAAGCTTCAAAGTGGTGTTTAATAAGTTGATACCTCTGTAGTTTTCAGGTTGTTTTTTATCTCCTTTTTTGTATAGTAGGATAAGCTCGCTTTTCTTCCACTCTTCAGGTATTTTATTATGTTTGATGATTTTGTTAATTAGTGCTGTTAGCTGTTCTGTTAATGCTTCTCCACCATATTTCAATAATTCATTTGGAATTCCATCTTTACCTGCAGCTTTTCTGTTCTTCAGTTTTTCTAAAGTTTGTTTTACTTCTTGTACGGTTATCTCGACTTCCTCGTTTGTAATGATTTCTGGTGTTTCTGGTTCTAACATCATTTGCTGTTCATCATTATAAAGCTTCTTTAGGTATTCAATCCATGTGTCGTTATCTATGTGTTTCGGTTCGATTAAGTCTTTCATCTCTGATCTTTGGCCTCTTATGAAACGCCATATTTCCTTTTGTAGACCGTAAAAGTCGTGTTCCATTTCTTTTGAGAAGCGTTCCAGTGTTCGTTTTTAATTTTTCTTACTAGTGCTATTGTTTCGTTTCTTATCTTTTTGTAATTGTTGTATTCTTGTGGTGTTTTGTTAGACATGTATCTTAAGTAAGCTTTCTTTTTTCTTTGCATTTTTCTTTACTTCTGCGCAGAACCTCGGAGTTTTCCGCTTTTGAAATATTTATTTTAAGAATTTTCCTTTCTCCTACAGCTTCTTTTGCTGAATCTAGGATGTTGCTTTAATTTTCACCCAGCTTTTTTCGATTCCATCACTTTCTACGATGTGCACGTTGTCGAGTTTATCTTTGACTCTCTTTTGGTATAGAAGTTTTGTTGATTCGTTCTGCAGACTCTCGACTTTTACCTTTGTGGTGTATTCTTCTTTTTATTTTATTGTTTTATTGTTACATATGCGTGTCGTCATTCTGATTTTTCCAAGTATAAGCTTATGGTCGCTTCCTATTTCTGCAGATGTTAGTGCTCTTATGTCCAATACTTGAGAGGGATGTATTACCTGTTCGTCAGGATGTAGTCTATCATTGACCTTTGACCTCTTGTATTTTCGAATGTGTATTTGTATTGTTCCTTATGAGGGAAAAAAGTGTTGTTGATGCGTAGTTCATTCGTGCTACATAGGTCCGTGAGGAGATCTCCATTTTCATTTCTGATGTCTTCGTTATGACGCTGTTTTATCCCTGGTACGATGTCGTTGCCAACACGGGCATTAAAGTCGCCCGTAACGATCATAAATTCATTTTTAGGGACCTCATTTATCGTGTTTTGGAGGTGTTCGAAGAAGCTTTCTCTTGTGTCTGCGTCTCTGTTGTTCTCTGGAGCATAAATGGCTATTATGTGTAGAGACTTATCATTTAGTTTGAGTTTTACGTAAACTGTTCTTTGTGAAATATATTTACAATCCTCTATTTGGTCAATGAATTTCTTGTGTAAAAGTAGGGCTACTCCTTCTTTAGCTCTGGTTTCTTTTGCCACGCCGCTGTAAATCAACAAGTAATTATCTAGCATAATTTGACCCTTTCCTTTTTTCTTGGTCTCCTGGAGTGCGCATATATCTATATTTTTCTCCGTTAGTTCTTTGGTAATTTCTTGTTCTCTGCTGTTCAAGGATTTTACGTTCCAAGTACCGATTCGGAGTATGTTTTTCGTTTTCCATGAATTCGTTGTCCTTTTTCTCGCATTGGTCATCGTCGTAGATTCAGTCCTGTTCCGAGGCATTAACCTGTTTCTTTGAGCTGGCTGGTTTATAGTCCTACAGTAGGGTGCTATCCTGGTTGAAGACCAATTTTCTGTCAGGGTTTATTCCCATAGCCGATATGTTCCAGTTTTAAGGCGCCAGAAACTCGCCTTTCACCCTCTCTCGTCAGCTGCATAACGCACACCCATTGTGTGCCATGCACCCAGTGGTTACGCGGCGTATTGCCTTCGAGGACGAGGAAAAATATTGGAACAGGAAATGAGGGACTTAAAGAACTTCAGATAACAACCAGAGTCAAAAATGTATGAATTGAACGTTTACCCAGGTGCCTGCAAAATATGAAGTAATTATACGTAGGGCTGACTGGCAAGAGAACCTATTATTTCTACAACTTGTGAACGCCAGAGAAGGCGACAGTGGAACCTGAAGTAAGACAAAACACCTTTTGGTGACGGGTGGCAGCGAATGTGTTTTTACTTAACTAGTACTATATAATTTTGGTTAACCCTGTACAAATAAATATTCGAATAGTATATCGTGCCAAAGGCGCAACGAGAACTTTTAACGTCTCGTTGCGCCTATGATTAGGAGAACTTTCAAATAAGTTGTGCCGTGAGCTGGGTTTTTACTTAAAAAATTCGTCCATTACGTCATTACTTCAATACTGATGACGTAATTTCCAACATATATAATTGATTAATATTCAACAATTAAAATTTGCGTATTTTAAGATTTGTTTTAAAGTCGTCTGCTTCTGAAATAATGAATTTATTCCATACTTTTGCATCATACTGTATGAAAATATTCATTAATTGAGCAGATACAATATAGACATGTCAAAAGTTTTATTAGTAGACATATTGGTCAAAAATATTTAGAAGATAATATGCAAAAATATTATTTTTATTAAAATTACTGAAAACAATCTCATAAATATTACCTTTCCGGCTAGACTCTTCTATTCTTACTTGATAAGCTGGTTTATCAATAGACGTGTATTGAGGAACATCCATGCTGCTGATAACTTCCACCGCGTCACTAACAATGAACAACCGTCTTGGTAAAAGATTCTTGGCGGAATGTTTCTCAATACCATGTAAAGGTCTGTATTTCATGTTGTTGTTTACGGTTTCAAACAATGAATCGGGGCAAATACACTCCATGGACTCGTTTTGAAGTAGGTTTTTGTTTAGGTCTTTCTCCAGTTTGTTATTTGTACCAGTAGATCTTTGAACATCTCTAAAATTTAAAAGGAGATTAAAATGATGGTTCTGTTCCACTAATGTAAATAAATACTTCTACGACTACTATCTACCAAGGAAATTCTCACTTTGTGGCTTGTTTATTTTGTGTAAAAAATTATTTTTATCTTTTGTTTCAACATAAAAATTCTTTCTTATTTATGAATATTCGAAAATGTACTTTGAAGTGTCATTAGCATATCGATGACTTAACTGCATTTTATTTTGCATTCATAGAATCATCCGTATGACCCATACATTTTAACAAAATATCGTAAGCCACAGGCCCCTTCAATCAAATGCGCTAAAATAATAATTCATATCAGCAGAGTTAATTGTTTTATTGCCAAAATGTTGTAAACCAAAGGTTTTTTTTGTTAAGTCATATGCTGTGTGAGTTTATGTGTTTTTTTAAAGGATATTAGGTAAGTATTATAATAATATTATTTTATTAATCGTCTATTGGAATATTACATTTTTTATGCCTTAGCGTGCATTTCTTAGAGGACCCAATTTTTTTTTATATGTTGGGAGTGTAAGTATAAGCTTAAGTTCAAAGGACCCCGTAACTGTCCTTATGGAAAACCGGCCCCGGTCAAATTAAACGGAAGTTTAGTGTCTCATGGAAACATTATTATTCTGAAGCTACAGCCTTCTGAAGTTATTAGATTCAGGTGTTCAATGTTTATTTCTGAAAAAACGGTGACACTTTTCTTAATGCATATTTGTACGCTGAATATGAATCCGTAAATAAAAATAGATTCATCGTATTTTACTGAATAACAGTGATAGAAACTGTCCTGCTAGAGCGACATAAAAATTGTCTTTTCACTAATTGTGCCCACTTATCCAATACCAACATAGCTACAGTTCCGCCTTATCTTCAGATAACTGAGGAATAACCATACCGACAAGTGTTGCTAGAACGACACAAGACATCTCACGCTTTCAGGCATGCAGAATACATATCTAACCTCAGCAAGGTTCACAGCACCATTTGATTTTCAAAAAAACGCTGAATGATAATTTTAAAAAATTAAGAACCGCTCCAGTAACACTTGCTGCATCGACAATAAAATATGACGTTAGGGAAAGCTGGGGGAATACCTCGCACGGGAATATCACGCATCAGTATCTTGGCAACACGGCGTAAGTATTGCATCATTCAACACAGTGCGCCGTCTCGTATTTGCTAGCCGACCACATGTTTGTAATATGACTGCCTTCGTGGTATTGGTTTAGACAAGGTCACAGATTGTTTGTTTTTTCAAGACTTTGATGTAATTTTGACTATACTAAAACAATGTTGAATTGAAGGTAATTACTTGGCAACATCGCACTTAACGAAGCCCTAACAATAACTTTTCAACGAAATTATATTCCACTTAACAATTTTTCAGAGGCGGAACAAAAGAAAAAATTAAATTATTTATTTAAACACATAAGTAATTAATTAAATCTAAGACCGATATAGTTATTAAATTATCATGTGTCTTTTAACAGGTGTTTTATTCGCTCCGTGCGTAACTATGGTAGGGTACCTTGAAACAATTCCAGCGTGCGTAGCGACGAAATATGACAAAATTGGACCTATCTTTTACTCATAAATTTTATCAAAAATGGGTGCAAATACATGTTGCATATTTAATTGTGCAAATAGCAAAAATAGTGATTGATATTTCATAAGGTTTCAAGCTAACTGCAGCCTGCCTGATGACTTAAGCTTTTATATTATAACTTTTACTACTATTGTTTTTAACTACATGCTCTTCCACATGAAAATCTTGATTTGCCAGTACTAGATTTTTCCCTTTCTTTTCCGTTTGGGGTTGCAAAGATAAATTATGATGAATTTTTAGAAACCCAGTTTTAAATACTACATTTATTTTGTACATAAACTGAAAAATATAATTAAAAAACTAATTATTAATAATTGTCAATTTCGTATATATTTAACATAGGTTTAATCTCAAATTGGGAGGTCCAAAACTCTCAGAAGAAGGCAATAGGTCAGTCACGCACGGAGCGAATAGTTGTTTAACAAAATAAAGTAAAATTTTATTGTTGTAATAGAGTAACTAATGCAGTACTTCAAAAAACAGAAATCTTTGCAAAATACTTATTTGTTTCATTAGACTAAACAATCTGAAATTTTAACATACGATCTCGTCGTTGCACTTCATTCTCTATTTATAGAATTGCTGTCTGCTATGAACGTTATATTTGTTTTGTTTAACTTGAATTGAATAAACTATTTATTTAAATACATAAGTAATTACATAAAAATTAAATTTAAGACCGATATAATTATTAAATTATCATGTGTCTTTTGACAGGTATCTTATAGTTGTCTAACAAATTAAAGTAAAATTTCATTCTTATTAGAGAGTACCTAATACAGAACTTCAAAAAAACAGAAAACTTTGGAAAATACTTATTTTTTTATTAGACTAAACAATCTGAAATTTTAACATACGATCTCGTCATTACACATCATTCTCTATTTATAGAATTGCTGTGTGCTGTAAACTTTATATTTGTTTTTAACTTAATTTGGAAGTTTCCTTGTGTTTATTTGTTTATATAAATATGAAAATACATTGTTCATATAAATTAAAATGAATTAAGCTAAACTATTATCATGTGAATGCGTGTATATAGTAGTGCATTTGTTTATTTCAGTAAATTCTCGAAATATGAAATAAAGATGGCACTAACTACTAAAGAGTTAATAGCTTTGTTAGAAGAAAACTCAGAATGTGAAAATGCTGACTCACTTAAAGTGTTTTATTTGCCGCCGAGATTAGATTAGAAAGTTTCTTATGTAAAAGACATTGATGATAATATTATTTGTGAAGAATCAATAAAATCATATTGCAGGTACATATGAAATACAAGTGATTGGAAATTCTGACGATTCTGATTATGATATTCCCTGAACCACAGATAATACGTCCAAAGAAAAAACCAGTCAAAAATAGTAAATCCAAATTTGTCTTAAGTTGTAACAACAGATACTTCTTCGTGCTACTTTGTGCTCAATACTAATTCAACATCAGTCTGATTATATTAGACAATATAAAAGCCAACCATGGAGGCAAGTCATATATTGAAGTTTTTTCACTCTTTTTTGATAAAAACGTAATTAAGAGCATTCTATATTTTACAAATATTTATGCATCGCAGAATAACCGTCACGATTGCGAAATGAATAACATATATTTGTATATTATCTGGTTCACACTCTGCTTCAAGTTGATATACATTGGTCAAAGGATGAGGATAAAGAAGTGCACATTATAAGAAAAAGCATGAGCCGACATAGATTTATATTTATAATTTATAATAATGAAGAATCGCTACATCAGTGTCAAGCTTAGTACATGTACGTCAATCTAAATTTGCTTTACCAGATGAGACCACATTCGACAATATTGGCCACATTACAAAAAGAGACGATAGTGCAAGAATGTAGGATGTACTAAAGTACTACTATTTATTTATGTAAAAGGTGTAGAATGCATTACACCCCGAATGTTTCGAAAATTTTCACCTTACAATTTAATTTACATTTAAGATGCAATATGTTCCTTTATTAAAAATTGTACTGTTTTTCTTGAAAATGAAAAAAAAAAATGTTTTTGGTTGTAAATTATATAAAATCCACAAGGAAAACAATTCTGTAGCTGGCTGTATACCAAGTATCAGAAAAAAAGAGGTTAGTCTTTGTAAGTGGGTATATTTATTTAAAAACCCTTAAAAGGGCTACATCAAAAAAACAAACGTTTTCGGACTAAACAGTCCATCATCAGGTTTAAAATCTGCCTAAAATAAGTACAAACCATTTAGTTAAAACAAACGTGATTATGAAATTTTGACTATGGTTAAAAAAGCAAAATGGCTATACTTACTAGGTTAAAATGCCTGAGCCACCAAAAATACATGGGTAAAAACCCTTTAAATTACTTATAGTTATCAAAGATTATACATCTTGTTGTTAAAAAACTGTGATGTTCATTATTAAATTAAATATGACTTCAGGTAACATACATTGCAAAAAGTTTTGAGTTCCAGAGCCGGGGAGAAAACCTCTACGCACGGAGAACAGCTGGAAACTGATTTACAATATACCTATGAAAGGTGTCAAAAACAAAAATGTCAATGTAACATAGAACTATATTAGTTATACCTAGTATTACTACAGCCAAAAGATTCAAAAATTATTTTTGATGATTTTAAAAAAATAATAACAGCAATATAGGTGTTGGGATTTAAAATTTGGGTTATAATCGATGTGAAATCACCAATGGTGTTAAAGTCATGTTTAAGAGGATGACCTGTGTATTAGGCAACCTATGTTGCTTTTTGTCGTATGGAATATGGTCTAAAAGTGTATTGTATGTTAGATTAGCTTATATATTATATGAAAATTATCCTTTTTATGTTTATCGCATCTAGGCTTCAAATATTTACTATTAAAAAAAAATCTAACATAAAATACACTTTTAGACCATATTCCATACGACAAAAAGTAACATAGGTTGCCTAATACACAGGTCATCCTCTTAAACATGACTTTAACACCATTGATAATTTCACATCGATTATAACCCAAATTTTAAATCCCAACACCTATATTGCTGTTATTATTTTTTTTTTTAATCATCAAAAATAATTCTTGAATCTTTTGGCTGTAGTAATACTAGGTATAACTAATATAGTTCTATGTTACATTGACATTTTTGTTTTTGACACCCTTCATAGGTATATTGTAAATCAGTTTCCAGCTGTTCTCCGGGCGTAGAGGTTTTCTCCCCGGCTCTGGAACTCAACACTTTTTGCAATGTATGTTACCTGAAGTCATATTTAATTTAATAATAAACATCACAGTTTTTTAACAACAAGATGTATAATCTTTGATAACAATAAGTAATTTAAAGGGTTTTTACCCATGTATTTTTGGTTGCTCAGGCATTTTAACCTAGTAAGTATAGCCAT